TACTTCTTTTTCTACGATTACTAGTCGGGGCCACAGGTGGTCTACTACTAGCACCACGACCACCGCCCCTACTAGCAGCTCCAACACTACTAGGTGTAAGTAGTATCTCATCTTCCATTTCTAATTCATTATCATCTATACCAAAATCTTCCTGCGATTGTTCATAATCTATATTATTATCGGGTAATGTTTCAGGAATATTTGGAGAGGTATTTAAATTACTACCGGATGATGAAGCTGAAGTACTACCTCTTTTTTTATTTCCCCGATTAGTAACCTTGTTACAAACTCTTTTTGCAGCATTAAACATATTGTAAAAATTTAACTACTAGCAACAAATAAATATGCAAATAAAATAGTAAATAAGAGAAAGAGTTGGAGGGAGTGCACCGAATTCGGCAATAAATTGAGCACTTGATGATTTCACAACTCCAATGTTACCACGAAGAAACGTCAATTGTTCCAATTTTGAAGTTCAATTGTTCAAACTTCAAATAATAAATACTACGATAAATTAAATTCCAAAAAAAAAGAGCCAAATAGTTGATTGCACTTTAATAGGTGAAGAATGAAGATTGAAGAATGAGAGAATATGAGAATTGAGATTGAGAATTGAGAGACGAGTGAAGAAATGAGGAAGAGGGGGGGGGGTATTTATAGTTTTTCAAAGGGGGGTTAATTTTAAAAAAAAAAAACCAAAATTGGGCTAATTGTGCAATTCAGCCGTTGGGCAACAGCCATTTTCTGAAATGGACCGTTGCCAACGGTCAGATCTGGGCCCAGTTTAAAAAAAAAAAAATTAAAAAAAAAATACCGTTAAACCGGTCTGGGCCGGTCCGGGCCGGGCCGGTTAACCGGTTTCATAACACTGTTCATCGACCGGGTTATACCGGTCCGGGTAACCGCTATATCGAATGTGAACGGTGCAACCCGCGAATCACCCTTAATCCAGCCCAACCCAGCCCCCTTATACCGGTTCCGGTTTTAACCGGCCTGGGCCGGTCCGGAACCGGGCTGACCCGATCCGTTTAACACCCTTAGTTCCAAGTTATAAACGGATTAATAACGAAAATAATATTTTTATTTTAACTTAATATGACAAGTAAAAATTGTATTGTTGATGCACAACGTAACTCTTAATTAAATTACTTAAATGGAATGGATTACCGATCTATTCACTTCTTGACATTCAGTGACATTTTGCTTTTAAGTTTCAGTGTACTGTGGATAACGACCCGCAAATTGCGGGGAATCATAAGGTAATTTTTACTTATCTATATTACATTATAAACGTATTTATCCTTTCTAAAGAAGTTATCACTTAATTACATTAGTATATAAAATTTATCATTTATATACAAAATATTTATATTAGACTCAAATCTTACTCATTTTTTCTCCCTTTTTTTTTATTTCCCACGTTTGTATCACACTTAATACAATTGAAATACTGCAAAAACTCACTCCTTGGCAAATAAAATCGTTGGAAAATGTTAGTTGGTGAATTTTGAGTAGTTTTTGTCGACTCAAATGCCCAAACACCATGACTAAATTCATGATTGTGTTGCATAAAGCAATTGGAGCTTTTGAAACAATGGGGAAAATGGATATAACGGAGAAGAATCATATGAGTTAGTTATCTTGAAACAGTAAAAAAGATAACAACTACTAAAATTTTTCTTTGGCAACCATTAAAAAGCTTTAAAGCTTTGAATAAAATAAAATTTTGTGAAATTGTTATTTGTTTGATTGGGTATTATTTCGGATGATTGGGAATATCCTTTGGAGTTTATATATCAATTTTGAGAGAATTTGGAGAAGACTCGAGGTGGTTTTTGTTAGAATTTTAAATTGAAACTCGAAGAAGAAGACAAAAATAAATTATAGATATTTATATATCGGGTGTAGAAACGGCATACAAAATATATACAACTAACATAATTGTATATAAATTATATGTAAATGATAGTTTTTGACCGGACTCTATAAAAAAAAACTGAATTTAAGTTGTAGATAAATTATAGATTTAGACCGAATTTGTATATATTTTGTAAAATCCTCTAGTTATTTTCTGTAAATAATATTTTTAAACAAATCGGATAAATATAAAATTTACGAAAAAGTCCCAATTCTTAAAGACATATGATACCTACTGGGGGATCCGGTGTCTCGGATTTCTTCTAAAATTAAGTAGGAATGCTCTTATGTCTTACCGATTATAGATCTTACGTCAGTAATCTTTTAGTTTCCCTTGAAATTTAGTTTTGTTGTCTCCCTAGTTACATTCCCTCTAGTTACTGATAGTAGACGATAATTATACAATTTAGACACTATTTACATTCTAATTTGGCCGTACAAAGATAACAAAATGCTCTAATTAAGAGTTTTACATTTTGTAGGAGTCACTCCGAACTAGGAGGAAGCTAAAGAGTATTTTGGAGTCAATATGGAGCGTGGAAGGCCAATCAGAGGATAGCACGGTCGAAAAGGAGAAAGAAGAGCACGGACAAGCTCTGCGGTCAGGTCCGCGGTCAGATCCGCGGCCGCAGACAGAACAATTGTCAAATCCGCAGCCGCGGACGGGCAGACGAGAGCCAAAAATTCAGGGTCAATTATGTAATTTCCAGGGCGACTAACCTAAACCTATATGAAGCCTAATTCGTCCAAGAGAGAGGGAGAGCTGTTTTTAGAGAGATTTTGAGGGCAAGAGCACGGAAGAAAGACAGAGAATTTTCCTTAGAGTTTTATTCTTCTTCTTTTTAATTCCATTGTTGATGATGACTTTATTTATTAAATTTTCATCTCTTAGTATGAGTAGCTAAACTCGTCATCTAGGGTTGACGGAACCAATTGTTCGATAAAGTCTTGACTATATGTTTTGATATAATTGAGCCGTTTTTACTCAATGATTGTTCAACTACATGTTATCTTGTGATTAATTGAAAGGGCCCTTGATTAATCGTGACTAGTTATCTTGTGTTGCTTGAGAAAGAACACTTGGTTAGATTGTTGTTGAACAACACCACTTTCGAGTAAGTTAAGAAATTAATTACTTGAATTTAAAAGCATTAGAGATAACGAAGCTTTGGTGGAATCATTCTGAGTTGCATAAATTGTTAGCTAGAGTAGTTCAAGAGAATGCTTCTAGTAAATTATCGTAATTGATCGAGAGATAATTGCAGTAACCCAGAACTCATATTTCTTATAGAGTGTTAGTGTTACGGCGAGATTATAGCTAATGTGTCAGGAATTAATCCGACAATTGGAGAAATCAATAACCCTAGACAATTGTACCATTGAATTCAACTCTTTTCTAGATTATTGCTAGTTTCATTGCTATTTTTCCTTAGTTAACTAAATTCTACTCATTATCCATCAAAAATCTTGCATCCGGAAATTGTTTGAACTTGTCATTAGCAGTGGTAAAAGTTGTAGTAAATAGGTTAGTTCCCTGTGGGATTCGACTCCGGACTGAACCGGATTATATATTTGCAGCGACCGCTGAGTCCTTTTTATAAGGCATAGTTGGGCGTGATCAAATTTTGGCGTCGTTAACGGGAAACTAATGGTGTTATTTATTGCAACTTGGAAGAATTGCTAAGATTACTAGTTTAGATCAATTTTCTGTGGTGTTAAAAATATTTCCATTGAAATTCTCACGTTTGAACTCTTCTGTGACACAGGTGCATGCCTAGAAGCTCTTTGAGAACTGGTGAACTCTTTGAAGGACTCTCAGATCCCGAGAAAGCATTCCGAACATTGAATCGGGCAAACAAGAAGAGCAAACAATTGAAACAAAACGAACAAATTGAAATTGAAATGGATGACGTAAACAACGTCAACGGGAACAACAGGAATGATCGAGATGATCCAAACGTCAGAGCGGTAGCACTTCTTGTGCCGGAAACTACTCTTTAAGATTGGGCGCAACCAACTGCTGATAACCTGGCCACAGCAATTGCGGTTCCTCCCATACAAGCGGAGACATTTCAGATTACCAACAACATGTTGCACCTGTTGCAGAATAAAGGGCTGTTCTCCGGGTCATAAATCGAAGACCCACAACAACATCTGAAGAACTTTCTATCAATATGTGTCACTCAAAGACAGCCGTGTGTGACTCCTGAGGCAATCAAATTATTACTGCTCCCATTCTCAGTGACCGGGGAGGCTCAAACTTGGCTGAATTCGCTCCCAACAAACTCCATTGCTACTTGGGAGGAACTAGTCAAGCAGTTCTTAAACAAGTTTTATCCACTCAACAAAATTGCGAGGCAGATTGATGAGATATTGAAATTCAGGCAAAAACCGATTGAGACTTTGCAAAGACCTGGGAGAGGTTTAAGGGTATGTTGGTGAAGTGTCATCACTATGGCATTCCGGATCAGATGCTGGGACAGAGATTCTATATGGGTTTGGCTGAGGGTATGAAGGCCAATGTAGATGCTTCTGCCGGGGGTGCATTATTGAGCAAAACCTTCACAGAGTGTAAGATTCTTCTTGACAAGATGTCTCAAAATTCAGGTTGGATAACGAGAGACACAACACTCACACCAATAGTGCATTCTGTCGCTCTTGACCCAAACAACACAAATGCAGAAAACATAGCCACTCTTATGACCCAGATGAGCTTGCTGACAAAGAAAATCGATGAGATGGGTACGAAACGGGTGCATATTGTTGATACCACAAATGGAGGCTTATGCACTCCTTGCATAAACCAGTCATATGTGAGCTCGTCGAGTGGAGAGAATGACAGCCAGGGTTTCAGAGAAGATATGAATTATGTCAATAATTTTGGAGGTCAGAGGCAAGGTGGGCAGCAATGGGGACCAACAGCAAACCAACAGTATAGACCAAACCAGCCACAGCACAACCCCAACTCCGGAGGAGCACGACCACAAGGCCAAGTTGTGCCTTATCAAAGGCAACATGGCTATAATCAGTAGCACCAGCAACAGTTGACCTACCAACCACCTCATCGGCAGCAGGATAGTAACATGACTGAAATCAGAGGTATGCTGCAACAACTCATTGGGACAAATGAAAAGATGCAAGAGAAGTTAGCTGCACATGATTCAGCAATCAAAGACATTGAAACTCAATTGGGACAGCTATCTATGGCCTTGAACAATCGCCCACAAAGAACATTGCCTGCAGATACAAACATTAATCCAAAGGAGCAGAGTCTAAATCAGCTCATGGCAGTGAGTCTCAGGAATGGGAGAGATTTAGACAGGGAGCAAGAAGTTGCTCAATCCAGGAAAGAGCCAACGCCAACTACTCCAGCTACTCCAGTTACATTAGAGACCGATGAGTCAGCAGAGCTCACCGAGGTTGCAATCGAGCAAGCACAAGTTGACAAGGGTAAGGAATAGGAAGGTGAACAACTCCCAGAACAGGTAGTAGAAAAAGTTCCAGCAAAGAAAAGACACAAAACAGTGGGCAGAGGTTGATTCTTGCACCATTCCCTCAGAGGTTGGCAAAGCAAAAGAAAGATGATCAATACAGGAAATTCATGAAAATGCTCAGACAAATTCAATTGAATATCCCACTGATGGATGCTTTGAGGGAAATGTCAGGGTATGCAAAAATGATGAAGGACGTGATGTCGCGAAAATTTGACTTCCAAGACATGTCCACTATAACTGTGACACAGATCTGCAGCGCGGTAGTGACAAGACCTATGGCTCAAAAGGTGTCTGATCCAGGTAGTTTCACTATCCCATGCACCATTGGGAGTTATGCTTTTGCTAAAGCATTGTGTGACTTGGGAGCCAGTATAAACTTGATGCCATTTGAAATCTATACAAAACTGGGCATTGGCAGAGCTAGACCAACCTCAATGTTGCTGCAACTGGCTGATCGCACAGTCAAAAGACCGACGAGAATTCTTGATGATGTGCTTGTTCAAGTGGGAAAATTTGTATTCCCTGCAGACTTCGTCATTCTTGATTGTCAAGTGGATGAAGAGATACCAATCATTTTGGGCAGGCCGTTTTTAGCCGCTGGGAGAGCATTGATTGATTGTGAGACTGGAGAATTGAAAATGAGGTTGAACAATGAAGAGATAATATTCAATGTTCAACAATCTATGAGGAGACCCAGCGAATTTGCAAATTGCTCACTAGTGGAGGCCGTAGATGTAATACTACAGGAGGAGGATGAGACTACTATTAATGTCAGGGATCCGTTGGAAGCCTGCCTGTTGAATCTGGAAAATGTTGATGGTGAAGAGTTGGCATAGTGGGTCATGGCTCTTGAAGGTCAAGCATTCTGGAAAAGGGAGCCCGAGTTCAAGCCCCTACACTTAGTAGAAAGAACATCACCACCTGCGAAACCATCGATAGAGGAGCCGCCACAGTTGGACCTGAAACCGCTTCCAGCGCATCTCAGGTACGCTTTCTTAGGGCCTAATTCTACTTTACCCGTTATTATATCATCCGGTTTGCTAGTTGTGCAGGTAGAGCAACTCCTACAAGTGTTACAAGAATGTAAGACTACTATTGGTTGGACCATGGCAGACATAATGGATCAACCCAGCTTTTTGTATGCACAAGATTCTCTTGGAAGAAGGGCACAAACCTTCCAGAGAACATCAACGAAGGTTGAACCCGAATATGAAAGAGGTGGTGAAGAAGGAAGTGATCAAATGGTTAGATGCGGGTGATCACGCCCAACTCTAGTCCTAAAAAGGATAAGCGGTAGCTGCAGATATAATCCGGTCTAAAAATCCGGAGTCGAATCCCACGGAGAACTAAGGCTTTGCTATATCTGTTTAATATCACTAAAAAGACAAGTTTGAATAATTTTCTAAATTATAAAGATTGATATTTATATTTCTAACTAATTAACTGGCAAATACTAGAAAGCAGTCTAATTATCAACTAACGAGACAAAGGGTTGGAGACTAAATTAAGAAGGTCTAGAGTTATGATTTCCCTAAGTGTCGGAATCCTTACAGCTATGTTCCCTACAATTTCGTCGATGTATTTTCTACTGATCGTGAGCATTTTAGGTGCCGCAATTCTCTCTCGAGCAACTACAACAATTTACTAGACATATTCTCTCGAACTACGCTAGTTGGCTTCATCTAACCGCTCACTATGACCACGTCAAGGCTTTGTTATTTCTAAACCTACCTTTAAACCCAATGTATTGATTTCTCACATACGTTAGGAGTGACGTTGTTCAACAAATACCTAAATATGCACTCTCTCTCGAGCAATACACACTAAATAGGCACAGTCAATTGATGGCCATTCAATCAACAGCAACAAATACGTAGTTGAACAAGTAGAGAAATCCGACGGCTCAATTATATAAAAACATAACAAGTATTTATCCTACAAAAGGTTCCATCAAAACCCTAGATAACAAATTAGCTATTCATAAAAGTATGCAAAAATACAATACTAGAATGCATAACCAATAATGGAAATAGGAAGAAGGAAGTGACAAACTCGTGGAAAAATTCTCCGCCTTGCTCCCAATATGTTCTTGCCTCCTTAGGTCGAATCTCCGGTCTCCTTAGCCTCCTTAGGTCTAAATTATGTCAAAAGTCCTCAAAATACCGTTTTTCCATGTATATATATCAAATAGGGTCGGGCCCAAACAATTCCACCTTCTCCTACGCGAAAAAGGACACTTTTCCCAGACAGGACGTGCGCAGCTGCGCTTGGACCGCGCATATCCACTTTGATTCTGCTTGACGAGCGCGGCCTGAGCGCGGCCGCGCACTTGACGCGCACTTTTTACCCTGTTCTGTTTGGAATTTGGAAAAACGTAAAACATGAAAGTTGTATCCCTTTGAGTTAGCTTTCCAACCATATATTGTGCAGACCAAATGGAGTTCTGAGAGAAAAGTTATGTGCATTTTACTAACACTGCGCATTATGCTTGCTCGATTCTTTTTTCGTTCTGAACTATCATCCATTGATCCTCGAAATCGATCCCGGCTTAATTCCTTAGGCTTTTACTCAGACTTCAAAGCTCCAAATCACTTGAATTCATTCCATAACATCTACATAGCTCGGAATCACTCCTACAAGGCATAAAACACACCATTAGTGCAAAACACTAGCGATTAAAGCTCAAACTCAATTAAAGCACAGTAAATTAGAGTATAATAAGCGACTAAAATACGCAATTATAGCATATCATCAGCGGGTATCATCTTCCCCATCTCTAACAACAATTGGGTCAGCCATGTTCAGTGTGTGCCAAAGAAGGGAGGAATGACGGTCGTACAAAATGAGAATAAGGAGTTGATCTCAACTCGTACTCTCACGGGATGGCGAATTTGCATGGATTATCGGAAATTGAACACACCCACCCGGAAGGACCATTTTCCCTTGCCATTCATTGACCAAATGCTGGACAGGTTGGCTGGGCGATCTCACTTCTGTATCTTGGATGGATATTCGGGGTACAATCAGATCTCAATAGCCCCCGAAGACAGAGAGAAAACATCATTCACCTGTCTGTATGGCATCTTTGCCTTTCGGAGAATGCCTTTTGGACTTTGCAATGCACCGGTTACATTGCAGCGATGCATGTTAGCCATTTTCACGGACATGGTTGAAGACATTATGGAGGTATTTACGGATGATTTCTCTGTGGTGGGGGATTCATTCGAGGACTGTCCTCGCAATTTAAGAAGAGTGCTCAGAAGATGTGTGGAGACAAATTTAGTGCTGAATTGGGAGAAGTGCCATTTTATGGTAAAAGAAGGGATAGTCTTGGGGCATCGAGTGTCCAGCAAAGGAATTGAGGTTGACCATGCTAAGGTTGACGTGACTGAGAAGTTTCCACCGCCCACTTCAGTCAAGGCAGTGAGAAGTTTTCTTGGGCACGCCGGGTTCTACCGGCGATTCATAAAAAATTTCTCTAAGATTGCTAACCCTTTATGCAAACTCCTTGAAAAGGATCAGCGTTTTGTGTTTTCCAATGATTGCAGGTTAGCATTTGAGGAGCTGAAGAAGAGATTGGTGACTGCACCCATCATTGTTGCACCCAACTGGGAGCAACCGTTCGAGCTCATGTGCGACGCAAGTGACTATGCTATCGGAGCAGTCTTGGGGCAGCGAAAGGATAAGCTGATGCACCCAATTTATTATGCAAGCAGAACGCTAAGCGGTGCACAGCTCAATTACACCGTGACTGAAAAGGAGATGTTGGCTGTAGTTTTTGCATTCGACAAATTCAGGTCATACTTGATTGGTTCAAAAGTTATTGTTTATACTAACCATGCAGCAATTAGGTACTTGATAGCAAAGAAGGAGTCAAAGCCACGCTTGATCCGTTGGGTTCTTTTGCTACAAGAATTCGATCTGGAAATCCGTGACAGAAAAGGGACAGAGAACCAGGTAGCAGACTACCTCTCAAGGTTGGAAGGAGCTGAAAAGAAAGTAGAGGTTGAAGATATAACAGAGACACTCCCTGATGAACAGTTACTAGCAGTGACAATGGAGGAGACACCATGGTATGTTGATATCGCTAATTATTTAGCAAGCGGTATTGTACCTTATGAACTCTCTTCAATTCAAAAGAAAAAGTTCTTTCGCGATTGTCGGTTTTATTATTGGGATGAACCTCTACTTTTTAAAATATGTGTAGATAACATGATCCGGAGGTGTATCCCTGAGAAAGATCAACCTTTTGTTTTGCAGGCTGCCATGCTTCACCATATGGTGGACACTTTGGAGAGATTCGGACAGCAGCTAAGGTGTTGGAATCGGGTTTGTATTGGCCAAATCTGTTCAAGGATGCCCATGCTTGGGTGAAGAGATGCGATGAGTGCCAAAGGACATGCAATATATCTCGACGTCACGAGATGTCGATGACTACCATTCAAGAGGTGGAGGTATTTGACATGTGGGGGATTGACTTTATGGGGCCACTCGTCAGCTCGTATGGTAACAAATACATACCGGTGGCAGTTGACTATGTCTCCAAATGGGTTGAAGATGTGGCTCTCCCAACCAATGATGCAAAGGGTGTGACAGGCTTTCTAAAGAAAAACATCTTCACATGTTTTGACACCCGAGAGCTATAATCAGTGATGGTGGAACCCATTTTTGCAATAAAGAATTCGCACAGTTGTTGGAAAAGTATGGAGTTCGTCATAAGGTGACCACCCCTTATCACCCACAGTCGAGCGGACAAGTTGAAGTGTCAAACCGGGAAATCAAAAATGTCCTAACCAAGACAGTGAATGCGATAAGGACTGATTGGGCAGAAATGTTGGATGATGCATTATGGGCGTACCGCACATCATTTAAAACTCCAATTGGTATGTCACCATACAAGTTGGTGTTTGGCAAAGCATGTCACCTTCCGGTAGAGCTCCAGCATAAAGCCCTTTGGGCACTGCGGCAGTTGAATTTGGATATGGAGACCGCAGGCACCAGTAGAGTCACTAGGTTACATGAACTCGAGGAATTCAGGTTCCATGCATTTGAGAATGCAAGATTGTACAAAGAAAGGATGAAAATGATGCATGATAAGCATATCCTGGATCGGAACTTCAAACCCGGAGATCTAGTGTTGTTATACAACTCGAGACTAAGATTGTTTCCGGGTAAATTGAAGTCTCGATGGTCAGGACCCTTCAGAGTGGTGCAAGTGTTCTCAAGCGGAGCTGTAGAAATTGAGTCCGAAGATGGAACGAATAAGTTCAAAGTGAATGGGCAAAGGTTGAAACATTACCTTGGAATGGTCGAAGAAAAGGGGGATAGAGTGGTGATTTCTTTAGAAGAGCCCAATATATGAGCGAAGAGTAATAATGAAAGCCTGCATCGTGCCGCGACGTTAAATCAGCCGCTTCCTGGGGAGGCAACCCATGGTTTGTTGTAAATCGTCGTGCCGCGACGTTAAATTAGGCGCTTGTTGGGAGGCAACCCATCAGTTTTTCTTTGTTCTTATTTTTTTGTAATTGATTTTTGAACGGTGACAATATTGATCGATCAACTAAGGTGCAGGAACGAAGGTACGCATAGTGGAAGGACTCGGGGTGACGGAAGTATCCCGGAGATAGGCAAAAATGCAGAAAAGCAAAAAAAATCTTGGATGCCTAATCCGCGGCCACGGATCTGACCGCGGATCAACCGCGGAGTTTGCAGATGTTCTGTCCGCGGCCGCGGATCCGGTCGCGGACCTGGCGCCGTTCCGGTTTCATTTTTTATTTTTATTTTCGTTTATTTTCTTCTCCCTTCCCCCCCTTTTAATTAGTTTTATTAATTATTA